TTGCAGCATTATTCACAATAGCCAAGACATGCAGTGAACTTGTGTCCATCAATGGATGAATAGATAAAGAAAATGGAATATTATTGAACCTTAAAAAAGAAGAAAATCCTGTCATTTTTGACAACATGGATGAACCTGGAGGACATTATGTTAAGTGAAATAAGCCAAGCACAGAAAGACAAATACTATGAGATACCACTTGCATGATGAATCTAAAACAGTCAAACTCATAGAAGCAGACAGTGGAATGGTGGTTGCCTTGGGCTGGGGGAGGGGGACAGGGGGAGGTGTCAGTCAAAGGGCATAAGTTCCAGGAGAAAGTCCTAGACATGAACCGTGCAGCCTAGTGCCCATAGTTAACAACACTGTATCGCATACTTAAAAATTTGCTGTGGGTAGATCTTGTGTTAAATGTTCTCATCACACACAAAATAATAATAATAAACAAACAGGGTGGGAGGAAATTTTTGGAGGGGATGGATAAGCTTATAGTGTAGATTATGGTGATGGTTTCACAGGTTACCTCCAGACTCATCAAGTTGCATATGTTAAATAGATACAGCTTCTTGGATGTCAATCATACCTCAATAAAGTGGTTTTTAATAAAGCAGCAGCAGCAAGAGATGTGGTCCTTGTCCCTTAGGGCTGTGTCCGAGCATGCTGGCGAGGAGTTGGTCAGTCATGCTATTTGTATGGCAAATGCCATGACAGGACACTACAGATGGTGGGCAGCTAACCCAGGCCTTTGGGGGTCAGGGGAGGCTTTCTGGAGTGCTGGTGTTGTTGAGAGTGAAGAATGAGGACGTTTGCCAAGTCATCAGAGGACAAAGGAGAGTGTGCAAAGACTTGGGAAACAGACCAGTGCAGGCGCCATGCTGGGAATGCAATGCACAGTGCCGCGAGCTTGAGTGTAGGTTACTGTTGGGGTTGAACTGTGTCCCCCAAAAAGGAGATGTTGAGGTCCTGACTCTCAGTACCTCAGAATGTGACCTTATTTGGAAGTAGGGTCTTTACGGAGGTAATCGAGTTAAAATAAGATCATTAGATCAATAAGAAGGGGGAATTTATTTATTGTAATTTTGTGTGTGTTAAGAACATTTAACACAAGATCTACCCTCTTAGCAAATTTTTAAGCTTCAAACAATAGAAATTGATTCACCCGCAGTTTTGGGAAGTCTGCGATCAAGGTGGCGGTGGGGCTGGGCTCCCTGCGGAGCCCCCAAGGGGAGGGTCCTTTGCCATCTCTTCCCACTCCTGGGGCTCCTGAGGCTCCTGGCATTCCTGGGCTGTGGCTGCATCGCTCTAGTCTCTGCCACTGACTTCCTTCCCATGTCCTTGCCTGTGTTTATGTCTTGTCCTCTTCTTATAAGGGCACTTGTCATTGGATTTAGGGCCCACCCAGACAATCTCATCTCAAGGTCCTTAACTGAATCACGTCTGCAAAGTCTCTTTTTCCAAAGACTCACATTCACAGCTTATGTCATTCAACATGCTGGTGGGTGGGACGGGGAACCTAGGCCAGTGTTAATCATATTTAGCAGTCCAGGATTTATCCTGAGGCGTACAAGTGATTGTAAAAAGGCTTTAATCATTTTACTCATTTTAAACAAAATACCTGCTTATACAGCACCTACTATATGCCAGGCACAGGGATAAGGGTTTTGTGGGTCTGAACTCATTCACTCCTCCTGACAAGCCTGTGAGGCAGGTGCTGGTATGACCCCTTTTGACTTATGGGGAAGTGGAGGCCAGGAGGGGCTGGGTCTCTTGGTCAAGATCACACAGTGAGCAGCGGGGAGCCAAGGTTATAACTCAGGCATTCTGGGAAGATCTCCCCACTGTTGGCTGGTGAATGGATAGGGGTGGGCCTGGGGCTCGGACCCCGTGGGGAAATAGATTTGAGAGAAACTTAGAAGTAAAATCGGAGGACGAGCAAGGATCGAGGGTGACTTTTCGTTTGCTTGGCTAGTCCCTAAGGCAGGCTGCAAGGGCCCACATTTTTTTTTTCCTTTTTATCTTTTTTCGTGACCGGTAACGGGATCACAACCCTCAGTGTCGCACCCGCACCGCGACCGGCAACGGGATTGCAACCCTCAGCATCGTGCCTGCACCGCGCTCAACCAGTGAGCAGACCGGTCTCTACATGGGATCCGAACCCTCGTTGGGAGCCCCGCCGCGCTCCCAAGCGCCGCACTACCGAGTGCGCCACCAGGCCCAAGGGCCCACATTTAGCACTTCTGCCCTGGCAGCAGCCCTCCACCAGTGACAGGTGGGAGCGGGTGTATGGGTGCCACAGCTCTTATGCCTCCCAGGGAGTGCTCGGCTCTGAGGCCCGTGTTCTTTTCTGTCTCCCGCTGCCCTGGTGCTCGCTGGCTTGTTAGGAGTCCCTTCTCTTCTCCACCTCGCCTTGCCCTTGTCCCATTGGTGTTTCCTGGGACCACTTCCCAAATTAGCTACCTGGAATCTTTATCTCAGTGTCTGCTTCTGGGAAGCCCAAACTAAAACAGTGACTAACCAGGTTAGTGGGCAGAGGAATAGGTTGAAGGGGGTGCCCCTTTCAAGCCAGGCTAGAAAAACCCTCCCAAGAAGACTGTAGTCACCAGTTACACTTGCCCGGACCCTTCGTGACAGACAGAGCTCCCGGCCACACTGCCAGCCACGCTGGAAGGGCTCTGCAGCTGGGGCCTGAGCCTCANGTTAAGAACATTTAACACAAGATCTACCCTCTTAGCAAATTTTTAAGCTTCAAACAATAGATTCACCCGCAGTTTTGGGAAGTCTGTGATCAAGGTGGCGGTGGGGCTGGGCTCCTTGCGGAGCCCCCAGGGGAGGGTCCTTTGCCATCTCTTCCCACTCCTGGGGCTCCTGGGGCTCCTGGCATTCCTGGGCTGTGGCTGCATCGCTCTAGTCTCTGCCACTGACTTCCTTCCCATGTCCTCCTTGCCTGTGTCTATGTCTTGTCCTCTTCTTATAAGGGCACTTGTCATTGGATTTAGGGCCCACCCAGACAATCTCATCTGAAGGTCCTTAACTGAATCACGTCTGCAAAGACTCTTTTTCCAAAGACTCACATTCACAGATTCTGTCGTTCAACATGCTGGTGGGTGGGACGGGGAACCTAGGCCAGTGTTAATCATATTTAGCAGTCCAGGATTTATCCTGAGGCGTACAAGTGATTGTAAAAAGGCTTTAATCATTTTACTCATTTTTAAACAAAATACCTGCTTATACAGCACCTACTATGTGCCAGGCACAGGGATAAGGGTTTTGTGGGTCTGAACTCATTCACTCCTCCTGACAGGCCTATGAGGCAAGTGCTGGTATGACCCCTTTTGACTGATGGGGAAGTGGAGGCCAGGAGGGGCTGGGTCTCTTGGTCAAGATCACACAGTGAGCAGCGGGGAGCCAAGGTTATAACTCAGGCATTCTGGGAAGATCTCCCCACTGTTGGCTGGTGAATGGATAG